AAGAAAAAATGGGGAAAAAGGGGGACCTGGGCTTGGGGACAGAGCCTGCACACCCCACGTGCCCAGGAGAGAGGGATTTTACCAACCAGGTTGCTCGGAGACAGAGCAGGAACGAACATCTACCTCGAAGCCGCCGAACGATGCGGAAATCGGCTGGGAGTCGGGGCAGAGGATGGATGGAAACAAGGGGGATCCCTGCCCGGGATGGATCTGAGGACAGGCAGGGAGATGCCCCAAAATTGCACAGTTGAAGCCTCCCCGGTCTGCCCAGGGCCAAGCCTACCTCCCCCCTCTCCAGCCTCCCCCAACACTCGTGCTAAGTGGGACCAAAAGGATTTACCAGTGCGACGACGGCAAATCATACTGTCCAAAGATCGGTGCGACGAGGTGCTGGGGCTCCGCCTCGGCAGGACCGATGCCTCCAGGGCTTGCAGCCTGGGCGGTCCGGAGAGCCCCAGCAGCATCGCTGGACCGGGCTGGAAGGTGGTGGCTTTATTTTCATTTTCTCCTCATGTTTATGACCTGACCAGTGTAGATTTTTATGGTGCTTAACTCTGTAATTTTTTTTAACCTCCTTCCTCCCCTCCTGATGGATGTTATTCCCACGGGCTCTCTCGCCTGGCTGAGGTTTCCCGATGGTGCTTTGGGATCCAGCGTGGAGCTGGATGCTCCTTTACATCCTGGTCCAGGGCAGGTTGTAAACCACCTGCCTGAAGCGTTTCAGGGATCACTCTGGACCTGAGATTGGAGCTGTCATTTAAAAAAAAAGCCACAAGCCACTGTACTGTAGGACCCCGGCGTGGTGCCATATGAGTTGCCGGGACTTGATTTCACTCTGGAAATGGTGCTCGCTCCTTACTGGGACCAGTACGCCATCCCCAGTCATCCCACCACCCTCTGCCCACCAGCCCTTGGGCCACGTTGGGTTATTTTTCCTCCCAGAGATATCCTGAGCTGAACCCTAGAGAGCGGGTGGAGCTGGGGTGACATTCCCAGCATCGCTTTGGAGCTGTGAAAGCAGAAAATAAATTCAGGTTGTGGGTTTTCCTGGGGAAAAGGGGCTTGGTGGGGCTCAGGTGTTCCGGGAAATGGGAAGGTGAGCCCCTTGCTGCTGCAGAGCATCCACAACCAGCCCAGGGTTTCGTGCAAGAGTTTATTCTGTGCCTCCGATGGTTCCGTAGCACCGTGCCCATTGGGGTCGGAGGCTGTCTTACCTTTTCCCCAATGACCCCTGTAAAAACAGGATAAAACCAGCATCATTTATGTCTCCTGCTCAGATCCTGCCATCAGGGACCGTTTCAGTTCTTGCTTTTCCACTGATGAAGGTGCCAGCATCTCTTGGTCGAGCGATGCCGTGGTTTGGCTCAGCAGAAGGGGACTGTAGGGATGATTCACGGATTATGGGTGTCCGGAAGATGCTGTCTCAGCATCTAGACCCCACCTTGCTTGCTCGGTCCCATGCAGGTATAGCATGGAAACTCCTTGTGCCCATTGCTCTGCTCGGAAGGTTTCCCAGCTGTGGGCAAGGCCAGAAAAACCAAAAGAAAGAGGACACAGGGAGAAGAAGCGTTTCCTCACTAGACCTTTCCACCAGCGTAGTAAACCCCTGTGACAGTGTTTGTGGCTCCATCCTCGCTGGACTGACGTAATGCCTTGCTGAACACAACAATATTTTGGTTCTCCACGCCGCTCCGTAGAGCCTGGAGCAGATGTTGTGGTTGCTCTGCACAGCAGGGGATGGGATTTTGTGTTCGAGAAAATCCCTTCCACATCTCTATTCCCATTAGCATCCCTTGTTCGGAGGGCTTTCCTGCGTAGCCGAGCCCACCGCACTTTCCTCTGGGGACAGAGCTCCAAGGAGCTGTCCTTTTGCATCCTGCCATCGAAAGGATGGTTTCCAAGCCATCGATAAATCGTCACCCTTGTTCTCGGGGAGGGGAGGGATTTCTCGTGTGCGGTTCTTTTGCCGAGTGTGCAGCAAAAGGACGGAGCTGCCGATCGGACTGGCTGCTTTGTGTATACCATGTATACTAAACATCGATCTCTGCTGTTTGTGCATCAATAGCAAACCTGAAATAAAACCATATTTAAAATTACACCTGGTTCCCTGGGGGATGCGGTCATGCCCATGTCATTTAGTCGGTGGCTGCAGAGAGTTTCTTGCCTTACTGTGATCCTGGCCCCTTTGAAGCCTCAATGCATTAATTGAAGGAAAAAGAAAGAAAGAAAGAAAAAAAAGCAAAAAAAAAAAAAGGAAAAAAGAAAAAAAAAAAAGAGATTCTAACAGGTTTATTCTGAATTGCTTCTACTACAGGATTTGTTATTAGCAAAAACCAACCAACCAAACAAAAAACCCAACCAAAAACCAAACCAAACCAAACCCAAAACAGTCTGAAGGAGCCCAGTGGTGGATCAGCCTGTGCAGCCCTGGGATGTTAAATGCACGAGGCTGGTTTGCTTTAGCCTGCAACTGGGATGCTCTTTTGGCAGAATAACAGCAATATAGGGTTAAATGGGTTAATACCCCCCCAGCAAACTCCCTGCTATGTTGTAATGATTTGGTAAATTTAATGTTTTTTAGTGGGGGGTAAGCTCCCCTTGCTTTTTATAATGAAACAAACACCTCAGACCCAGGGAGCCCCAAACCCCACCGAACCCCCAGATATTTACCTCGTAAGGGAGGAATAAATCGAGCTCTGACGCCAGAACCACCCTCTCAAGGTTCTTTGCCTCAGGAAATTCAGAGGTGACTTAATGGGGCTGAGCCAAATGCTGACACCTGGCACCAGGAGGGTGACACAGGTGATGTCCCACATCCTCATCCAGCCTGAACCTGCAGGAACAGGCTCCCGGCGAAAGAGAAATGATCTGGAGCATCTCATGTTGTGTCCGAAGGGCTGGGGTGGCTTTTCCCAGCATCATGAGATGCTGCCACTGATGGGTCTTGGGATTCCTGGTTTTCTGGCACAGAAAGATTTAGTGTTTTGCCTCCCTTCGGTGTGAATTTGTCTTCTCTGATGTCTAATAAAAGGCTGAGCTGGCTGCTTTTCCCTTTGGGGGACACTGAGGCATCTTCACCTGCATCCCCCAGCTCTAATACATGGGAAGGAAACCCAGAGCTTTGAAATCTCAGCTTTGTTGTGGTTAAAATGGGGTTCAAAGTAGCCGGGGAACTGAAAGTGGCAGATGGAAGGGTATGAGAGTCAACCCCTCCTGCCCAGGAGTCCTCATCGCACCCCCAGAAAATTAAGGGGTGAAGGCACAGGATTTACCCACACCCTGGGAGAGGCACAGGGAATCTTCTGCAGTGCCCCTCCGGGAGGATTTTATTTTCCTGTTCTCTGGCTTTGGCACGCGGAGAGCACCGTGGGTTTTTTGTGTAAAAGAAAAAATAGCAAAAAAAAAAAAAAAAAAAAAAAAAAAAGACCCAAGTCTTCTGCTAGAACAAGTGCATTTACTTCCCCCGGTGACTTCAGCCTCCCAGCCACTTTTGCAGAGAGATGCTGGACCAGCCGGACCTCTCCGCACCTTTCGGACCTCTCCGCACCTTTCCTTACACCTTAAGCAGTAAAAATGGCACAAAAATGGAATTTTCGGGGGGCATATGGGGCACACCTGGTGTTCACGATAGGACAGCGCGATCTCCAGCCTCTCAAGCTCTCGCAGCAACACGTCGAGCCAGCGCTAAACTCTCGAAATGATTTAATGCACGAGGGGATTTGCTGCGAACGAAGGTCCTGCGCTGCTCCAGCCAAACCACCCAGAGCTTCGCTCCAAACCCAGCCCTGGCTGAGCCTGAGGGCTGACGATGGCTTGGGCAGCGCTCGCTGAAAACCCGATCCTGCAGCTGGGACCGCATGCGAACCTGCTTTTTTTCATTTGTCCTGAGCTGAAACCCAAGAAACTTGGGG